ACCTTCTAGCGGTATTTATTAGTCGTTCTAAAGAAGCGGGTAAAGTTGCAAGACTTATTTCAAATCTAGTGGATGCTTCAGTATGTGTCCTCCTGCAATATGCCGACGACACTATCATCCTTATGGAGACATTGAGAAATCCAAAAACATGAAATTGATTCTTTGCCATTTTGAATAGTTATCTAGGCTCAAATTAGACTTTCACATGCGCAAACTCTTTTGGTTTGGAAATGCGGATTAAGTGGATCAGTACAAACAACTTTTTGGTTGTGAGGCTGGCTCATTCCCATTTAATTATCTTGGTATTCCGATGCTTTTGTAGATTTGCTCACCAAGGAATGGATAGGTACGAAGAGTGATTCAAGAACAAGTTGGCATGTTGGATAGGAAATCTCATGTCTTATGGAGCAAGGCTGATTTTAAACAAAGGGGTAAGAAAAAGATTGGATTACTACATATCCAGATTTATTTTGGTAATCTGATGAACATAAGCGTAAATTCTGACTAGTGAGATGGGATGTCATATGTCGCCCAGAGGACCAAGATTAGATTGTCTCGGGGTGAAGGACCTTGAGATTAAAAATGTTTGTTGAGCAAATGGCTCTACAAGCTACTTACCGATGATGCCAGGACGATGTATGACAATAATTGCTAAGAAATAAGTACTTATAATCTATATACAAGTACTGGCTAGTGAACTAACTGTACACATCAATCAAAATGTGCTTTTATTTATCATATCAGGGCCTCTCGTTTCTTGAGATGAGTTTTGGAATACATTATGTTCATCTTTCCCCATGATTCTTTCTTGAGGGTTTATGGGCATAGTAGTACAATAGCCAGCAAAAGTTTCAACTGTGGTGAGCCATTCCGACGGTCCCTTTTTTGGGAAAAAGAAGCATGGGATGCAATCTCACGGTTCAAGGATAATAAGGCACCAAGGCCAGATGGGTTTCTGGCTGAGTTCTATCGGAAATTCTGGCAGGTCATCAAGGGTGACATTATGCTTATGTTGGTAGAGTTATACAATGAGAATCTGCCCTTGTGTAAACCAAACTTTGGCATTATCACTCTTCTTCGTAAAAGAAGAGGCTATTAAGATATATCAGTCTCGTCCAATTCACTCATTTAATATTAGCTTTAAGATTTTCATCAAAGTCGCAACTAATTGTGTGACTTCGATTGCTCACAAGGTGGTGAGATCTATGCAAACGGCTTTCATGCCTGGAAGACAAATCCCTAGAGGGAGTTGTAGTTTTGCATGAAATCATCCACGAGTTGCACTCTAAGAAACTCAAATGGAGTTATTTTTAAGGTGGACTTCGAAAAGACGTATGATAAATTCAAATGGCCCTTTTTGCAACAAGCTATGCACATGAAAGGCTTTCCGGCAAAATGTTGTGATAAGCCAATTCATTTGTTAATGGGGGTAGTGTACGTGTCAAGGTAAATAATGACATTAGTCATTATTTTTAGACGAGAGTATGTCACCGGGGTGAGGGGGTGGGGTGTGTGCGTGCTCTGTGGCCCATTCTTTTCCATATTGTGACAGCCTTCTACCCGTACTTATTAGTCGTGCTAAAGAAGCGGTTAATGTTGCACAATCTATTCCAAATCTAGTGGATTTTGGAGTATGTGTCTTGCAATATGCCGACGACACTATCATCTTTATGGAGCATGGCATTGAGAAAGCCAAAAACATAAAGTTGATTCTTTGTCTTTCCGAATAGTTATCTAGGCTCAAAATAGACTTTCACAAGGGGCGAACTCTTTTGGTTTGGAAAAGCTAAAGAAGAAGTGGACCGGTAGAAACAACTTTTTGGTTGTGAGGCTGGCTCATTCTCGTTTTAATATCTTGGTATTCCGATGTATTTTTGTAGATTGCTCAACAAGGAAGGGAAAGGTATTGAAGACTAATTCGAGATAAAGTTGGCATGTTGGATGAGAAAGCTCATGTCTTATGGAGCAAGGTTGACTTTGAACAATGTTGGATTACTACATATCTAGATTTATTTTGGTAATCTGATGAACATAGGCGTAAAAGTCGACTAACGAGATGGGATGTCATATGTTTCCCAAAGGACCAAGGTGGTCTCAGGGTGGAGGATCTTAAGATTAAAAATAAGTGTTTGTCGAGGGACCGTACGATCTACTTATCGAGGACGCCAGGATGGTGTATGGCAAGAATTGCTAAGAAATAAGTATTTACATTCTAAAACTCTCTGTCAGGTTCAGGCAACACCAACAGATTCACCCTCCTGGAAAGGCCTCATAGGGATAAAAAATATCATTTTTTCATAAAGGGACATTTTTGGTAGACAATGGCCTAACTACTAGGTTCTAGCAAGATACATGGTTGAGTACCCGCCTTTAGTCATGCAATATCCGTGCCCCTATCTTATTGTGCAATGTAAAGATGTCTTTCTTGCCTCTGTGATGGGCCAGGTTTCATTGAATGTCTCCTTTCAGAGATCACTGATTGGTGAAAAATGGACAGCTGGGTTAAATCTTGTTGAAAGACCGATGATGGTCAATCTTTCACATGAATCAGACACATTCCGTTGAAACTTAAGTACTTTTGGTATCATCGCAGTCGAATCCATGTATACGAACCTTATCAATGATATACAACCTTTCCACAAATATACTTGGAAGATGAAAGTCTCGTTGAACTTAATCTCATGTGCTATTTACCTCGATGATATACGATCCGACGCTGATGAAGAGCCTATGAGGATAAGTGTTGCCAAATTT